GATGGAGCCTTTGTATACACCACCTGAGATCGGAAATTCTGTCAGCTATTCAAATCTTTTTTCAAATTTATGCTAGCTAATATGATCATGCAATAATTGCAACTAGACGCATTTATGTGTCGCCGGGAGCCAAAAAAACAAGAATTTTGCTCGTCTTACAGCAAACTGCGGCAGAAAATAGAGAATTCCCGATAAGATACAGAAATTCTGAGAAGTTCTGAGCCTTCGAGGAATTTCTTCGTTACCAAAGATTCAAATAAAACTTCGCAAGAATTTCTCTCTTATTAGAGAATTTCAATAGGACTTTCTCAGCTCACACGAGAATTCCCTTCTTTATGAAAGCCATAAATCTAAACTCGACGAGAATTTCTCTTTTACACGAGAATTTTGAGAATTTTAACAGGAATTTGGATTTCATAAAAAAAGAATTCTCGTGGATTTTTGAATAGTTTTTGGATGCTTCTTTGGGTTGGTTGAGTTTTACACTATCGTTTGAAGAGAAATTGGTGTTATATGACCGTAATTCTCTTTGGACTAGAGAACCCTCGAAATTGCTGGAATCCGGACATCTCTCTTCACATTAAGTTATCGGACAGTCAATTAATACACGGTCGTTCAGCCGGCAGAAAAAACGAGCTTTCAGTTGCGATAAAAAAGTTTTCTGACAGTCAACACAAATGCTTTGCATGCATCAGAAATATGTTTTCAGTTACTAATAGTGAATATAATAAAACCACTATTATGTTTGTTCGAACTGCTTACCACAGTTGTTCAGAATTTCAGCTTAAATGAAACCTGTTTAGGGTCTTGAACAATTTTTCTTAAACTTGTTGCTAGCTAACTGTATTTCTTGCAATCAGCCGAGTTGCAGTTTTTTCCTCCCAGACAGAAATATTATGAGGAACAGTACGAAAAAACGCATTAGGGAGTGTCCTTTAAAAGAACCGTTGAAACATGTTTATTTTACATATAATGCATTTTACTGGCGTCGTTTTTAATTGCTATTGCAAACGACAAGAATGAAAATGAGAATTTCCATTATGAAACGCACGTTCGACAGCTGAACGGTTCTTTTAACGTTCGTTCGCCAACGCATTTTTCTTGCCGTTTAAACGGTTTCTTTTTGCCTGGATGAGGGGGGGCAGCTCAAGGGGAACAGAACTGATTTGAATCAATCTACATCTTTCAAATCAACCCAAATCAAGTTGATTCGAATCAATTCAAATCTTTCCAAATCAAATCAGTTTTTTCTTAGTTGCCCCCGAAGGGGAACAAAACTGATTTGAATCTCTAAAATCTCTCCGAATCGTGGTCAAATCCCTCCAAATCTTTTAAAATCTTCAAGATTCTCAAATCAGTTTTGTCCCCCTTGGGGCAGCTATATGCAACCAATACTATTGAAAAAGCTGTTATCGGTTGATTAAATGATAACAGAAAGGTAAGGATGAGTTTAATTTTTCCATCACTTCAGGAGAACAGCGTCGTATGAATTTCTATGTAATACCTAGATGTCACAAAACCTCTATAGAAGTTATACGTTCTCTTGCCTTACCATTAAATAGTGCTTGCAAAATGGCATCATCTAGTTTATTTTCCACCTCGCCCAATCGAAACTGAAATATGGTGATTAAAAAATATCCTTTTTTAGATTTCATTAAATTTCCGAAGACGGTTCGATTGGTATTATTCACTATTTGATTATCCATTAACTCTAATGTTCGATTACTAAAGAGAAGGTACATGTGATCTTCAAACGCGTCATAGCAGTTTTTGAACACATACAATTTCTGTTGTATTTCTTGATTTTTTTCTGAATCTTCGTATATTTTAAGGAATCGATCTGTTTCGACGCCATATAAGAGCTTATGAAGTGCAGCAATCGTATCTGCTGCTCGTCCAGAATCCTGAAGGAATAAAGACGTGCAAAATAAGATATTGATGTTTTGCTCACATACTTTAATAACAATAACTGGCGTATTTTTCTCTAAAGCGTTGCAAATCGTTAAAATCGAAGAAGCGCCGCCTTCTGTTAAAACTTGAATAATTGGAATTTTAATCGCTAAAACGAATGTACAGTTATCAACAGTGAACAATACAAGCAAAAGTTAGATATACCTTCGCCTGGCATCATTGCAGCTTCTTGCTCTATTTCAGCTCGCATATTTAAGATAAGATCAGCTCTACAATTAGCTTGTTCTTTTGGATAAAATTTTCGCCAGTCTTCCCCCTCATTTTTCCCTTTCGGTGGGTAACCGTCGTCTAACAGTATAAAATGTGTGTGATTGGGATCAATATCACAACCTTCTTCGATTTCATGATCTGGTTTTCGATTATTGTATGATTTAACTCGGCTGACAGTATTCTCGATGGTCAAATCGAGAATGGTAGAGGTTACGGCTTCAATCTAGTGAAGAAAAATGTGAAATTTGAGTAATATTTCGGGTTCTATTGGATGCTGGAGTACCGAATGGGGATCTGGCGGTATTTGTCTTAAATCTTCAACGTCTGAAAAAATGACAACTGATGAATACGAACAGAGAACTATCAGCATTAATGCTCCTTTAACCTGTGGTGTAATGCCAGCTAGATATTGCAATACAGGGAATTTCTGATCGTTTTTTTGTATTTTTGTAGCGATACTTATCAATAGCATCACCGACTTCTTTCATAACACCAGAGTTGGTCCCGCCAGTTATGATCCAAGCATCTAACAAGATAACTAGTGCACTCTATAGTTCATTGAAAGTTTATATATTTTTCTGTCGTACCTGTAGTCTCAGCAGCTGCTATCAATCCTCTTTGAAATGCATTACGCAAACGTGTAGGCATTTTAAAATCTCTAGCACCGCCAGTCACCGATATAATCAGCTCTGGAGGATCAAGGTCCCAGGCTTTTCTCATAAAATCAACAACATCTTTGCCAGTCCATAATGCCGGTCGCTGCTGATAATTCGAATTCTCGTTGGCTGGCGATGGAGGTAGAAAGGGAATTCTGATATACTAGAAACAATAATAATGAAAACAAAGTATCTTTTATGTTTTGTCGAGAGCAATTTCATGCATATTTCAAATATCAGCGAAATGTTTACTTACTCTTGATAATCGACCATTTCCAACGAAGTGGATTTGTCCATAATCAGTGATACTGAAAAAACACTCTATGATGATTTGAGTAATTTACTTTCTGACTTACTCTAACCGTTCGCTAGGATTTTGAAGATTAAATTCTTTGATCCACTAAAATAAACAATGATCTGACAAATTCACTCAATTTTGAAAATAGTACGATCCAAAAGATTTGTTGTGTATGTAATGCTGAGCTTCCTGTCCCGGTCCCGGTCCCGTGGAAAGAACTCGTTTTTGGTCCCAATCCCGTAAAAAAATTTCAAAATAGCGCTGATAGTTTGAAAGTCAGCGTGTTGTAATATGGCTCGTGAAACAACATGCGTGGGTGCTATTAATTGGAGACTTTTAGAATTTTCTATGAGTTCTTTCTCCAGAACTGGTGTCTACATACAAACAAGCACAGAAACTAAGAAATTTTTATGCTCCATACAAGACTATTTTCAAAAAACCTAATCCCGGTCGCATTAAAAGTCCTGCGAAACCGGGACCGTCCCTCCAGATCTCTAGATCCCGTAAAAAAGATTTTTCTGAGTCCCGATCCAGTAAAAAGTCCCGCGGAATCGGGATGGGACCGCGACTGTCCCGCGACCTCTATTCACGGTAACATATAACTCAATAAAAATTTTCATATTCTGAACCAAACCTTACCTATGAATTTTTTTCGTAACCCACTATAACTTGTACAATATTTTTTTGAGTAACAAAAGAGGAGATATCACACATGTGGATATTTTTTCTTCTCAGAGCGTCGATAGAAATAAAAGAGGATTCTTTTAATTTAGAAATTTCTTTTTTCTCACGAGATTTTGGTACTAAATCAAGAAGAATGCGCTCATTTCTAGAAGTTCTTTCAAGTAGCCTTCGAACATTGAGAAGAAAAAGCTCATCAATTTGGTGCAGAAAAAACGAAAAGAAAAAAACACGCAAAATGTGTAGAACCGCATGTTTTATTCAACTGTAAATATACAATTTCGAACACAATAACAGAATGATTTGTCCTTTCGAAAATTCTCAGAGGTGCATCACCCATGGCTTCAGTGTTGTTTAAAAATCGACGAATATCGCGCTTTTCTGAAAAGTCGCCGTTTAATCGCAATATGTCAGCGACTGTTTTGTATATCGCGATTAAACGGTGATTATTTTGCAAGTCGCGATTTCACAAAACATCGCCGACCAGTTGCGGTTAACTGTCGGTTTGGGGTTTTCTAGTCATTTACTGTTTTATTTTGCAGTTGATCAAGTATATAATAAAAAACTTGAATTTCGATGGTAATTGTCTCTTTTTTTGTCGGTTTAATCTTTTCTTGTAGATTAATGTTTTTGAGAGACGCGCCCAGTGTGTTCTTCGTGATCTCCTCAGAGCTGACTGGTTGTTTCGACTAGGGTCAGCTTTGGAATCGAAGGGCCCAATGAACAGCTGGAGTTCTGGGCAATGTCTCAAACCGATTAATCGAATGAAGAGGGTCCTAGTAGTCGGCATTCTCATAAGAAAGTCATTAAAGTGCCAAGCAATGCAAAAAAACCAAAAAATAGAAATTTTGCATAGGCGGATTTGCTCCTTTCTATAAAAAAAATCGTCCGATTAGTTGCGACCAATCGCTGAAAGTTGCTAAAAAGTCGCAAAAATATTGCCGACTAATCGCAACAATCGAACACCAAGTCACGTAAAGGTCGTATATTTTAAGCGATAAATACCACGTGGGCATACATCATATCCAGTACTGGAAAAAATTATAGAGCCACTGTGTTTTTGAAATTTTTCGATGAAGTCGAGTGGCTAGGTCAAATCCGAATAGTGATTTGGATAGC